ATCGACCATATAAGCCGTATAATAATTTAATAATAATATAATATTTTTAGTGCAATAATTAATAACCTTCAATTCAAGAAGTAATCCATGTTAAGTGTTAAATTTCAATTGAAATATAAATAAAATTTTGAAAAATCGATATAGAAATAAAAATCGAAGAGACACAAAATCCATTTGAAAATAAGAAATTATTTTCGAAAAGCTTTTTATTGATTAAGAATAACCGATAAAAAAATATGCATAGTATGTGCTACTAGATGTATGTTAAATTAATAATGATGTGCTATTTGTATTGTAATAGTTAGCAATTTGAATTTATTAATAAAAAAACAAATTAATAAATTAGTCTTCAAAATTTGATACTTATTATAATTTACTTCATAATATATTTTTATTATAATTATAAAAATTTTAATTTATTTTAAATTTTTAGTTTTTTTATCTCTTAATAAAAAAAGTTAAAATAATTAGACTATGTTTAGATACTTTAAAAAAACAGTTCAAAATAGTGACTTAATAATTAATTAAATTAATAACAATTTGATGGTGTTAATTTCTTGTTGATTAATTTATTAATTACTTAAAATCATTCTTTAAGCTGTTCTCTAAAACATTCAAACATAATTAATTATTTTAATTTTTTCTATTAAGAAATACGAGAAAATTCAACGTTTTAAACAAATAAAAAATAATAAAAACTAAATTGCAACAAAAAAATTTTAAAAAATTAAATTATAATGAATGTCAAAATTGATTTAATAATTTTTTCAAAAAATTATTAATCTTATCTCAAGATAAGGAATTCAAAAGGCAACCCACCCATGTTAAGTATTGAAATTTAAGTAAAAGTTTTGAAATATTGATGTATAAATATATGAAAAACGAAAGAGAGAGAAATCCATTTGAAAATAACATCATTTGTTATGAGAGAAACCTGTGTATTGATCAAAAGTAAACATTAAAAAAAAAAAAAAAAGTTGAATGAACTTTTGGTTCGTATTTCTGAATTTTTTAACTTAATTTTTTTATTTTTTAAATGACTAATTTATTTTGAACACATTTATTGCCTTCGTTTTCCATTCTATTTCATTTATTATCTTTTTTATTCTCTCAAAAACCCTAATAATGAGGAGATTTTAATTTCAATACAAACCTTGATGATTGAAAAATAAAATCGAATGACCAGAATTAATGGTTATACTTCTCTTTATTCTTTTAGTTCGATTTTATCTATTTTTTACTTATTTTTTATTTTTCAAAGCTTACGACCCTTCTTTTATATTTAATCCTAACTATTTTATTTATGCGCACAGTTACATCATCTAATATGAATATTTTTATTTGTATAAATGCAAATCATGTTATTAAAGAAAAAATGAAGAGAA